GTGTGTGTGTGTGTGTGTGTGTGTGTGTGTGTGTGTGTTGGGAGTTTTAGTGAGGAAGTTCACCTCATGCGATTAACTGCTGGTTGCTAGGTGACCGTCCTGGAAAAGAACCATTCACTTGCAGCCGTTTTCTTCTTGAACAGGCGGYGCCTGAGATCAGCTTCACGTACCTCCGGATCTACCGTCGTCGTCCAGATCACTCTCTGTACAMACAACCTGTTGTCATGGTGAATCCAGGGACATCTGACTCAAAAATGACATGAGTCATAAGTTGAAAAGACAAAAGAGAAAAGTAGCTTTTCTTCTTGTCTTGATTGATTTTTACCAAACTGATCCGCTGTCAAAAGAAAAACAAAAAGATTTAGGAGATTCCCAAAGATTTTACTAAAATATGAGTATAACTCACTTTTGGTTTATTTTATTAGCATGTATTTTCTGCTTTTTCTCTGTCCTACTTTTCGATAAGGCCACAGCAGCTAGCTGCATTTCAGCACATGTATAATTAGTGTTTCTCATTAGTGAGAAGGCCCTGGCCTTTCTGTGTGTAGTTTACATGTTCTCCCCATGCAGGTGTGTGTATTCTCCAGGTACTTCAGTTTCCTCACATTAGATTCAGGTCTCTGATGATCTCTGACTGTGGTTTACTTCAATATCTGATGTGTCTTTTTCATTTAGCTGAATTTTGGTTCTAAATGTTCAAAATCACACAATGTTTTAACTTAATGTGTTTCTTTAATTTGATCATGCTTTAAATCAAGAAGAGGGTCTGCATTCACTGAGTGGGAGGTTCATATTGTGAAGGAGGAGTTTTTTAAAGATGTGATTGGTCGGATTGACAATTTTAGGTTGGGGTTTGGAGAAGCCGGGGCCATAAAGCATCTATATTTTTAATGTAAATATTAATTTGAGTCATAACTTGAGACAGGAAGGTGCACTGCAAAACGGTCCATCTTACCAAGCTTTAAAATCTTATATCCAACTAAAAAGTCTTTTTGATTTTTTTTGAGACTGATTTACTAAACAAGAACTGATTATGTAAGAATAATAATCTTGTTTTCAGGATGTGTAAGATTATTTGTCTTGTTAATCTGAAAATTTGACTCAAATTAAGTAAAAAAAATTCTGCCAGTGGAGTAAGAAAATTTTACTTGGTGAGATTCTTGAAATAAGAAAAAATTGAGTCAAATCAAGTTTTTCAAGAATCTTACCAAGTAAAATTTTCTTACTCCATCGGCAAAAAAAATTCTCTTAATTTGAGTCAAATTTTCAGTCTAACAAGACAAATAATCTTATACATTCTGAAAACAAGATGATTATTCTTACACAATCAGTTCTTGTTTAGTAAATCAGTCTCAAAACAAGATCAAAAAGACTTTTTGACTGAATATAAGGTTTTAAAACTTGGTTAGGTGGACAGTTTTTGCAATGTGTTATCTGAACCAAATTCAAAGTCAACAAAATAGGTTTACATATTCACAATTTGAGACATTGTTCTGTTTTAAAGGGGCAATATCCTATAAAATCAACATTTTTTGAGTTTTATATCATGTTATAATGTTATCCTCTCATCAAAAACATGCCCAAAGTCTTGCTTTGACTCAATCATGCATGTTTGAGAAATCCTGTGGTGTCCTGAGGCTGCCAGGCAGGGGAGCAAAAACAACTGGTTGGGACTAGAACCGCCTTTTGGTATCAGCTCCTCCTCTGTGTCTCCAAGCTGAGCTTCCTCATCACAGAGCACACACACCTGGCCTCATGCTGAAATGGGCGGAACAGAAGCAGAAGGAGGTTCTTAAAGAGACAGAGGCCAATTTTAAGGTGTTTAGAAACAGATATGATGAGAAGTCAAGTTTATTTTCTTTTTAAACATATTAACAGCATTTTAATCACAACTAAAGGTGACATAGTTACATTTATTGTGGTAAAGAATTTTAAATATATGCATGAGAAACACAGAATATTGCCCCTTTAAACTATAAATAAACAGCCAATAAATGATATTTACATGTTCACAATAATTTTACTATTATCACTACTTCATCTTTTAACTTGTTCAACAAGTCAATCCAACCAAAGAAGGTTTTGCCAAACTCCACCCACAACTGAGAACCACCCACTTTATTCCAAACCCTGACAATCTCAGTTACGATAAACTCCGCCCACATTGAAGAACTCCACCCACAAAACCAATAAACTCCTATGTACTGCAGAGACCACCAGCCACCAAAGGTGAAGGGCTAATGCTTTTGTCCGTCTCTGTCTGTGTTCATTTCCCTGCACCCTGTCGGTGGATTTGGAAGAAACTTTGAACAAGTACTCATTGGATTAAACACACACATGGATTTGACTTAGCCAGTTTGACAGATATTAGGAGAAAAAGATGAACTGTAAACGGAGTGGAGAGGAAATATTGTTAACAACTTCCTCTTTGACGACTGACCCCAAAAAAGGCTCAACTTGCCGGTGGTCTCTGATCAACAGAGGGGCTTTTATTTCCATCCCTCTGCTCTACCCACCACCATACAGTCCATGTCAGCCCTGGTGTGGCAGCAGCACTGATCCCATTTCAGGATGAAACATGGTCTCCATCCTAATTAACCCAGATGTGGATATTAATAAGATGAAAGCAGGTCTAGACTAGAAATGGGGCAGATGGAGAGGAGAAGGTCCTGATTTCAGAATGGCCACGTTAGAGCTAAAGTAGGACATCTTCGCCCCTCCTTTGCCAGGGGAATAAAAATGGTTTCTATATAAGCTATACCTCTCGGCACTTTTTAAATGGTTCCACCTCTCGTGAGGTATGAGAAGCTGAGAATATCTGCTAGGAGAGGGAGGAAGGGAGGAGGTTCAAATGAAAACAATGAGAAATGGTGAACTCATTGAAACATAAAAATGGTAGCTACAATTTAGTTTTCTGTGTGGGTATTTGGGGAAAAAAATCATTTTAGAATTAAAACATTTGTCAGAGCTGGTTCTTCTAGATTCACATGTGGTGCAAACACAAGACTTTGATGCTTCAAAGCTGTAAATATGTCAGAACACATCCAAAACCGAGCTTAAGCTCCTCAAACTGAAATGTTTGTTTCAGGTGAAAATAACAGACAGGAGTCTTAACAAGTTCACACCCTCAGCTAAATAAAACCTTTTTTCGATTTGCGCTCTTCTTACACTGAGTGGGAGGCAGCATTAAGACAGGGGAGGCTCAGGAGAYGCACAGGGGACCAAACAGGAAGTGGTGACGAGCACAGTCATGACTCATCCAGCTGACTGTGTTCATCCAGCCCCCAACGTGTTGCACCGTTGTCTTCTGATGACTGGAAACCAACTGTAGCTAAATAAAAATCWGGTGAATCTGCTAATTAAAAAGCAAAATATGAACTTGTAACTAAAAAAAATATCTTAAAATATCCAATATCTGTCACTACATGAGAACAGGAAGAAAAACATTGTCACAACTGTGGTTGTAATATTTGTTTGTGTGAATTTAATATATAAAGTGTGTCCAGGTAGACATCAGTGATTGAATGACAGGAGCTGAATGGGGATTGGCTGCCTGATGAGCCACGTTCGTTAACAGTTTTTCAGAGAAGTTTTGTAGAGGCCAGCTGATAYTTGTGTTAAAACCTCGTCTCTGAAGTTAAGAAGGTAAGGAACTGTTTGATTTCAAGGAGTGAACCGATTACAGTTTTCTGGTCGATCACAAGTCTGACCTGCCGATTTCGATTTTGTAAATAGCCAAAATTGTCAGGTGTTATAAGGTACAACTACAATCTTCCAATCTTTTTTTTATAGAAAAACACTAAACAGCACACTTGAAACAATAAAAAACATGTTTTAAAAGGACATTGGGTAGTACTCACAGCAGAGCAAAAAGACAGTGGCTTATTATTATTTTTTTTTTTTGTGGAGGTAGATGAGAAGCTGATCTTTACCATTAATCTTTCTATTTTGCTGATCTCCAATCTTCCAAAATTAAGGAAATAGGTGCAGATAAATCGGCCAGAAAAACTATCAGTGCACCCCTATTGATTTGTGTTTATTTTTGTGCAGATAAGAGGTAAAAGTTACATCAGATTTCAACCCAGTCCCTCTCACAGCAGCGTAACTGTAAGACAGCTGTCAGAATAAATATAGAGGATCAGACAGATGTGTTCAAGTGTTTTCATCCATCATCTATACCTGCTTCTTCCTTTCAGGGTCACTGGTGCCCACATCCAGCAGTCACTGTGCGAGGGGTGTGGGGGGGGGGGGGGGGGGGGACGACACACCCTGGACAGGTCTCATGCCCATCGCAGGAAAGTGTTTTCAACATATATTTTTATCTGCATGGTGAACTCTACGACACTGAGTGTAAATACATGTACGTACTACCATTCAGTCACTTGGCTGCTCCCGTCACAGTTGTAAAGTAACTAGGTACAAATACTTCACTGTACTGTAGAAATTTTTGGTTATCTGTATTTTATTTGAGTAATTATTTTTCAGCTGAATTTTTACTTTTACTCCTTACATTTTTACACAGTCATCTGTACTTTCTACTCCTTACATCTTTACAGTTATCTGTACTTTCTACTCCTTACATCTTTACAGTTATCTGTACTTTCTACTCCTTACATCTTTACAGTTATCTGTACTTTCGACTCCTAATACTAATATACAGTATTTTTTAAAAAGGTAAGAAGTAGAAGAGAGAAGAGAGAAAGTGGAAGAAGGACAGGCTTCACGTTTCCATGGAAATGTTCAAACACAGCTTAACAGAGTATCAGGCTGCTGTCAGAACTGCCAAGGCTAATTTTATTCGTAATTTAGTGTCTGTAAATATTAGCAAGCCTCAGATTCTTTTTGATTCTTTGAATTCTCTCCTGAATCCTTCTGATTCTTCTGGTTTGACTCCCTCTGTTTTACTTTGTGAAGGRTTTTTAACATATTTTAATGAAAAAGTCCGTGCTGTCAGGTTTTTACCCACTCATTGCACTCCTGATCCTGCTTTGCCTCCTGTTTCCTCAGCTATTTTAGATCATTTTGAACCTGTGTCCTTATCTGAGGTTTCTGAAATAGCCTTGAAGCTGAGGCCTTCACATTGTCCTGGTGACAGTGTTCCACCTAGGCTGCTGAAGGAGGTTTTTAATTCTGTAGGTCCATGGATTTTAAATTTTCTTAACACCTCTCTCTCTTCAGGTTGTGTTCCAGCAGCATTTAAACATGCTGTGGTCCAACCACTTCTTAAGAAGAGCAACTTGGATCCTACAGTTCTGTCAAACTTTAGGCCAATTTCTAAATTGCCCTTTCTTTCAAAACTTTTAGAGAAGGTTGTTTTTATTCAGYTACATGAGCACCTATGTCTTAATGATATTTATGAGAAGTTTCAGTCTGGTTTTAAGTCTTGTCACAGCACTGAAACTGCACTTCTCAGGGTGTGCAATGATTTATTTTTAACTGCTGACTCTGGTGATTCTACTGTTTTAATCCTTCTTGATCTTACTGCTGCATTTGATACAGTAGATCATGACATTTTAATATCAAGGCTGGAGACTTCTGTTGGTATGAAAGGTACAGTTTTAAAATGGTTTAGGTCCTACTTGTCTAACAGAAGCTTCTCGGTCCAGTTGGGACAGCTTTTTTCTTCTGTTGCTCACCTTCAGTATGGAGTACCTCAAGGCTCCATATTAGGGCCAATTTTATTTTCATTGTACTTGCTCCCCCTGGGATCTATTTTTCGCAAATATAACGTGTCATACCATTTTTATGCTGATGACATTCAGGTCTATCTTCCATTAAGATCTAGTGGATCCCAGTCTGTTAATGGGTTACTTGAATGCTTAAAAGATGTGMGAGCATGGATGGACCTGAACTTTCTGTATCTTAATGATAAAAAGACAGAGGTCATTTTATTCGGTAACTCTGATAAACTGACAGGATGCAGTAGTGCTGTTGGACCACTGGACCCTTTGYCTGGCCGTGTGTCTGTTAGAAATCTTGGGGTGATTTTGGATTCTGATTTTAAATTTAAAGAACAGGTCAGTGCAGTAGTCCAGTCTAGCTTTTATCATCTGAGACTTATAAGTAAAGTCAAGGATTACCTTCCTCATAATGCCCTTGAGAGGGTAATTCATGCTTTTATCACTTCTAGACTGGACTACTGCAACTCTCTTTATTGTGGGATGGATCAGTCTTTGGTTCGTCGTCTACAGCTGGTTCAGAACTCAGCTGCCCGTTTATTAACAGGGACAAGACGTCGCCAACACATCACTCCGATTTTGTATTCTCTTCACTGGTTGCCTGTTTCTTTTAGAATTGTTTTTAAGATTTTGTTTTTAGTTTTTAAATGTCTAAATGGTTTGGCACCTCATTATCTCACTGAGCTTTTACAGCCTCACATTCCTAATAGATCCCTGAGATSTGTAAATCTAAAGCTTTTAGTTGTTCCCAGGTTTCGGCTTGTGACCAGGGGAGACAGAGCCTTTTCAGTTGCAGGACCTCGGCTCTGGAACAACCTCCCACTGTCTGTGAGGTCTGCTGGGTCTCTGAATGAGTTTAAGTCTCTGCTAAAAACTCTTCTGTTTAAACAGGCATTTGAGTCTGAAGAGCAGGATCATTAGGCCAGCCTTTGTTTTGTTTGATTTTGTTGTTCATTTTATTACTGTACTTTGTTCATTGTTTTTATTTTATGCTCCTGTACAGCACTTTGGTTTTTATTGTGCTTTATAAATAAACGATGATGATGATGATGATGATGATGATGAAATTTGTTTCTCCTATTTTGTTTCGGCTTGTTAGTGTTGAAAAAATACTATCCTGAAAAATGTGCCTCCAGAGTGAATTTAATTGCAGTTGGATGAGAAGTATAAATGTATACCATTCTCATACTGTATTAATTTTTACACAATCCACCTCAGCTGCACGTTTTTAGAAAAAAATACTTTTTGGAGAGGTCACCTAATGTATTTTGGAAAATCTAATCACTCATTTTTACTCAGTACTTAAACTTTTAACACTCAGAAATTTACTTTTGATACTAAAGTACAAAAAAAATCTGATACTTTAAGACTTTTACAATATTTAGAGGAGACTTAACTTTTACCAAAGTCATTTATGATAATATAATTGTACTTTTACTCAAGCATCACTTTGAGGTACTTTATACAACACTGACTCCAGTGAGTAAACAAACACTTGTTATAGTTTTTTACCAGTTACAACCTTTTTAATTTAAAGACACATTAACCATCAACATGAGAAAAACATTGCAGATTTTATTTAGCAATCATTTATGAGCGATCTTCCTGACTTTACAATGCTTTATAAAGTGAGTGCCTGCATCTGGAAACACATCTGTATACAAGTTTATGTAAAGCAACAATATTTATATGTAATAATAATAATAATAATAATAATAATAGTAATTTTATTCATTTCATTAAAAACAACATAAAATTCAATATAATTAAAATACAAATCATAAATAAATGAAAGGAAGCAGAAGAAGACAAAATCTTATAACATCTGGCCCTGATATGTTTACATTATTTCAGCTGAGAATGGATAAATCCAGTGGAAGGAAGTGGGAGCAGTTACTGGCACCACAGTGGCACACTTTCCTCAGAAGTCCATTAGTCCTCATGACGTGTGCAGCAGCTGCGCTCTGACTGGACAGCACCTCTGCAGGCCACTGGTTGGTAGATCCTCCTGAGTAATCAAAGGTCAGCTCCTCTTCAGCCAAAATGTCCCGTCCAGCAAACAGCGCCAGCCTTGGAACCACAGAGTGCACGCGCACCGGTAGCATGAGCAGGTTGGGCTGGCAGGAGTGGTTCAGAAAACGACCCACGTTCCCCACCCGAGCGGGGTCCACAAACGTCTCGGTGGTGCAGCCCGGTCCTGCGTGCTCCCTCACGGCGATGATGTAATTATTCTCCCCAGGCGTCTGGCCGAGCTGTCTGCGCTTGGCCTCGGCGAAGCCGATCACCTCCCCGGCGTACTCGCACACGAACGTCCCGCGCGGGATTCCCTCCAGCGTTCGAACTCCCCAGCCCTTGCTCTCGGTGCTGCGGACCTCCAGCCTGAGCGTCAGCCCCCTCTGCACCACCCGGTTAGAGCAGGAGTCGCTGCAGCTGCAGAGGGCGTTGCACTCAAACAYGGGGGAGCAGGCACCGGAGACGCCGAGGCTCAGCGGTGCGCCTGTGCTGTCGAAGGCCTGCCCGTGCGTCTGCAGGCAGGAGCAGCTCTCTGGGCAGCAGGAGCGGGTCAGACAGGAGCATCCAGGGAGAGTCACTTCGCTGGGGTCTACAGAACATCCTGGTCCCGGGACATTCTCTGTGCAGTACTGAAAAATAACAGGAAAGTAATGATAAGCATGGCCCTGTGATGGACCTGTCCTGTGGGTGGACGGATGAATGGATACAAAGACAATAAGAGGACAGTATAATTCATTAAGGTCAGAAATCAGTAGATAAGTTGCAGATCTAAACAATAAATTAAACATATTAAGCTTAAATGATATCTCAGCCCATGAACCATCCAACCTGTCTGCACATGAAAACAGCCACAAAAGTAGAACAAGTTTAAAAAAGGCCAGCCCCATTTTTGACCCTCTGCACTGGTGACTTTGTGATGCTTTAATGATTTGCTGCCACCTTCTGGTGAATGACTGCATTACACATGATGCTGTGAAGTGTTTTTGTTTAAATTATTTTTTTAAAGAAAAGAGGCAGAAGATTTTTTTTTCATCTTCTGCTACCTTTAATTTAAAATTTGTTTTTTTATTGTTTATAGAATTTATGTTGTTGTTTTTGTAAAGAAATGAATAAACTATTAAACTAAACTTCTTTAAAAGAGATCACTAGGATTCATTTTCTGATTGAGTTTCTTCACCTGAACGCACACAGTKGTTCTCAACAAGTGTTTGGTATCGTTTGCCTCTGATACACATTTACTGTCAGCTGTTATGAACTAAAACTTTGATGCGAGTAAGGGCAGCACAATATTAGGGGGAAAATTTTCATTTTACTGTTTATTATCATCAGTAGTTGTGATAAATTTAGGTTTTCCTCATTTTCTCTTCTGTCATCACTATCTAAATCAGGGGTGCCCAAACATTTCCCCCGAGGGGGCCAAAATGAAAATCTATCCATGGCTGTGGGCCAAATGCAGTTATATAATACATGAAATACAAATACTTTTTAAAGTAAAGTCCTTTATTTTTAAAGATTAAACTGTCCAATGGCCCTCTTTTGTTTTAGTCTGTGCACTTGGAGAAAGTCTGTCATACGCTCAAGTAGCAAAGGCTCATGGGACATTTCATAAATTGATAAAATATGACTTTTTGTGGCCTTATAAAGTGTGAAAACCTACATGCGCCATTAAATCTGATCTAAATATATCTTGTTGTCATTTCATGTTTCATGTTTAATCCTAATAAATCAAAGATAAAGTCAGCACCATGAATGAAAACTACCTTCACTACAGCCCTTTTATAGTCATTTGACCAATGGAAACACTGTGTTTCTACCTATAGGATAACAGCTTACTACCTTGTAACTTTGGCAACTGTTGGTGGGCCAAATCAAATGGCTTGGCGGGCCAAATTTGGCCCGCGGGCCCCACTTTGGGCTCCTCTGATCTAACCCAAGGGTGTGCATCAAGGCCRGTGAGATTCTGTTGGGTTGATTTAGACACACAACCGTGCTCCTCTCCACTTCTGCCTGACTGGCTGAAGAAGAATGAGCCCACTTGTTTTTGAATAGTGGCTTCACCTCCAGGAAAGAGGCTGTCAAATGTTTTTAAATGATGTTTCTGAACTATTAGTTTTAGTAGTTTGTAGAAATTTTACTTTATTCTTTCTATTTTACACCAACTACAGTTATTGCACGCAAAAACTATCCTGCTCGACTAATTTGTTTCATTTACATGATGAATTAAATAACTCCTGCTGATTAATGTGCCTTGACCCACCCAATGAAATACCTATTTTTAAAAGCTTACAATTAGAAATAAATGAGCAAAAGTGGTGCAAAAATGACAATACGTCTATATTTATTTAGTTTTGTTTTACTCACACTGAGCTCTAGGACATGTTGATGGGAACTTAAATCTGCTGCTGCTTTGTCAGCATTATGAGCATCCATGCATGTAATTCATTGGCCCACACTGTGGACAAAACTAACAGGGCTGCAACGATACAGGAAATTCACGGTTCGGTTCGATACTTTAGTCTCACGGTTCAATATTTTTTCGATACAAAAAAGAGAAATTTCCATGCCCCTTTTAACTTACAAATTCATTTATATTAATTATGAACATTTGTTTAACCTCAAAAGAACAGTTTTTAAATTAAATGTTGCTGAAACAGCAAGTTTCTCAGTGGACCTGCACTCAAAGATGCAGCCTAGGTGGAGTAGTGGAACACAGATCCACTGATCCTTCAACACAGAGCATCTTCAGAAGACATGTTGATAAAGTAAATTTTTAAAATCTGTATTGTTCCATACAGCTCTGTTGGATACGGGTGCATGTATTGTTTCACCCCTAAAAACTAAATAACATGAACCAAAGAGCAGCTTAAGTTTAGGACATGTTTTCTCTCACTCACCCTATTTAACTAAGCATGTGAAGGGCTCGAATGTGTCGACTTAAATGCATAAAAAAACCATGTAACTTTTAGATTGATAAATAATAAACTATAATTTACATGTGTTTTTTTTATAGTGGTTTTAATTCCGTGACAGCTAACAAACATGTTCGAACTGTGCGTCGTCGTTTGTCATCATTCTCCAGCTAGTCGTGCTAAACTACTGAGACGGAAATACTTTTTACCTTAAATTTAGGAAATGTCGGCCCTCTGATTAAAACAGGCACATCCTCTAAGCCGCCACTCAAATCCACACCATCTAATCCAGTCATATTTAAAAACGGGATTAGCAGCGATAAGATGTCAACAAACTCAGGAGCAACGACTTCCGCTTTTGTCGCTGTCCGCTGTCTCCCCCTGGTGGTGTGTTGGAGTTATTACACCTTTRTAGTTTTCTGCTCTTTAGGGGGTTCTCAATGATTTCCTTCCTTTTAAACCATCCATCCATTATCTTTACCTGCTTTTTCTGTGATTTAATTTTATTTACCTTCATAAGAACTGTGAAAAACAAAAACAAAAAAGCATTTAAACAATTCAAACTTCTCTTTTTTTCTTTTAACACTTCTTCAGAATAAAATTTGTCCTACATTTTACCTCTTAGTTACATTTTCAATTTCATTTAGATACAATAATGAATAAACTGTCCCAATGCAGCTACGCAACTCATTGGTTAATGTTATTTTGTTGCACATAACTTTCAATTTTGTGTTGACCTGATGACATCACTTTAAAATATAAAATCAGATGTTATGTTACTCAGTACTAAAGTACCCTTACTATGAAATTCCTTTTTACACTTACATAAGTAATTTCTTAGATGACTAATTTTTACTTTTACCTGAGTAAAAAATATATTGAAGTACTGCTACTCTTACTCGAATACATCTTTTAGGTACTTATACCCACCTATAATTTTCTTTAAAAACTCTGGTGTGGTTTTTAATTACATTAATAAGTCATCATTAATTTTTCATTCCAAATGTTTGAAGCATGAATGTTTTCCTACTTAAAAACCTTTCTAAATTAAAAACACAAAAGTCCTGACATTAGAGTTGTAAATGATTAAAACGTCACAGATAATTTTCCGTATGAAGCCTTTGACCATGATAAGGTGGAACAAAACTCTGCAGCACGAGGCTCCTGTAATGTATCTTCATGTTCACTTCTTCATTTTTTAGTTTATTTTAAAACGTTGGGATCAACTGTTAGGGCTCTGCATAGTTCTTTGACTTGGACCCTCAGGTTTTTGAACCAGAACAGTCATGATTAAAGGAGGATTGGTTATTTTTTTTCTATCTGCTGCACCTCCACTGGAATAAACTCTCCTTATCCTAACTCTGTAAAGACTGTAAGTCTTTTAGTTAATTTGTATGCATTTATTGTAAAACACTTTTACACGTTTTATCTATTCATTATCCAACAATGGTACAGTGCACATACAAAAAAAAACCTTAATTTACTGACTAACTCATGAAAAGCTTGAATTCTGGTGATTCATTCATTCTCATTACAAAGAATTGATAAATATGATTATTTTTTTCAACTAAATTTTCATACTTGATCTTATAAAATGACAACCAATGCAGTGGTTTCATACTAAAGTGGGTGTGATAAACATCCCATAAATAAAACCAGTGAATTTCTCTTACTGCCTGTCTTGTCTTTCCTTTTCCTGGCAATCCATTCATCCATTATTCCTCCAGCTAACTTCAAGGATAAATTTTTATGAAATAATGTCAAGCATCTGGACTACATAAAGTAAAAAAAAGTGAAACAACATGTTAAATAAGTTAAGCTTGTTTTAGTTTCAGGTCATTATGAAAGACAAACCAATGAAACATTTCTAACCAAACTCATATTTATTTAGTCAGGTTTGATCTTGCTCCACCTTTTATGGTTCTGTTTTATTCCAGTCTCATAAACCAAATCACGGTCCATCAATTCAGTGAGTAGAGAGGGTCAACAGCAGCGCCGAGCCTCCAGAAATCAATACCTGGCTTTAACAGATCCGTTCAGTGCAGGGTTCACTGTGAGGACGGAAAACCTCAAAAGAAGTTCGGTTATACTCTTTATTTCCACGTAAGGCTCCGTGTGTCAGTCGAACGTTTTCTGAGGAGAGACTGTTTGTTTTTGTTAGTCAGATTCAAATTACATTCACTAAAAACAACTGCAGACAAAACAAAGCTAAATGTAATAAAAGTAAAACCCCCCAAAATCCAAACTCAGTCCCTCTTATATGTAAGTTTTGTGCAAACTGCAAAACCGATGAAGATCTGGGACTCTAACTGAAACGTCTGTGGACTGCAAACAATATTTATTCAAATCTGCTCTTCACTGAACATAAAATGGTGAAAAAAGATCAACAGGATGTAGTTTGTCTAAATTCACTGCAGTGTGCGTTTCGTTTCATGGCTCTTTGGATTTCGTCTGTTTCTGTTGATCTGTATAGAATAGAAACAGCCTTTATTGTCCCACCGAGGGGAAATTCAGGTGTAACAGCAGCAGCATCAGTTCACAAAAAACAACATATAGCTATGCGCCAATAGCAATGGTAATAGTGGTAATAGAATAGAAATAACAATAAAAATCTGGTGTTGGTATTGGTGGCATTCCTCATTTAATCTTCTGCCAGCTTCTCAGAGCACATCTGTTAGCATTCCCCAGTCAGCTCAGCTGCCTCCATTACCTCACCAGTCTCTGCTCAGTTTCTTCATGTCAGTTCTGCATTGTTAGAGAAAAAAAGGAAATGCTTCAAAGATCATCTGGGCATCTGGTAATTGTGCTCAATGTGATAAATATGAAACAATAGAGCATGTTGTATTGGAATGTTATATGGAAAAAGGAGAGAATTTGAAAATATCAAGGAAAAGTTTAGTTTAGTAGATACAGTTAGGTCCAAATATATTTGGACAGACAACATTTTTCTAATTTTGGTTCTAGACATTACCACAATGAATTTTAAACAAAACAATTCAGATGCAGTTGAAGTTCAGACTTTCAGCTTTAATTCAGTATGTTGAGCAAAATGATTRCATAAAAATGTGAGGAACTAAAGCATCTTTTAAACACAAATATCGCGTTGACATCAGGGGCAGTTCCCCTATTTAAAAAGGCGGCCGGCAGAGTCTGATCCAACTATAGGGGGATCATACTTCTGAGCCTCCCTGGTAAGGTCTATTCAGGGGTTCTGGAGAGGAGGGTCCATCGGATAGTTGAATCTCGGATTCAAGAAAAGCAGTGTGTTTTTTTTCCTGGCCGTGGAACAGCGGCCCAGTTCTACACCCTCAGCAGGGTCTTGGAGGGTGCATGGGAGTTCGCCCAAACAGTCTACAAGTGTTTTGTGGACTTGGAGAAGACGTTCAACCGCGTCCCTCGGGGACTCATGTGGGGGGTACTATAGGAGTATGGGGTACCAGGCCCGTTGATACGGGCTGTTAGGTCCCTGTATGACCGGTGCCAGAGCTTGGTCTGCATTGCCGGTAGTAAGTCAGACTCGTTTCCAGTGAGTGTTGGGCTCTCCCAAGGTTGTCCTTTGTCACCGATTCTGTTCATAACTTTTATGGACAGAAATTCTAGGAGCAGTCAAGGTGTTGAGAGGATCCTTTTTAGTGACCTTAAGATCACATCTCTGCTTTTGCRGATGATGTGGTCCTATTGACTTCTTCAGATTGTGATCTCCAGCTCTCACTGGAGCGGTTTGCAGCCGAGTGTGAAGCGGCCGCGATGAGGATCAGTGCCTCCAAATCTGAGACCATGGTCTTGAGCCGGAAACCGGTAGTGTGCCGCCTCCGGGTCGGGGAGGAGGTCCTGCCCCAAGTGGAGGAGTTTAAGGATCTCGGGGTCATGTTTACGAATGAGGGAAGAACGGAGGGAGATCGACAGGCGGATTGGTGCTGCGTCTGCAGTGATGCGGGCGCTGTACTGGTCTGTCATGGTGAAGCAAGAGCTGAGCCAGAAGGCAACGCTCTCGATTTACCAGTTGGTCTACGTTCATCTATGGTCATGAACTTTGGGTAGTGACCGAAAGAACGAGATCGAAGCTGCCGAAATGCATTTCCTTTGCAGGGTGTCTGGGCTCTCCCTTAGAAATAGGGTGAGCCAGCCCCTACTGATCACCTTCAAACTCTCTGTGATAATTCTGGGTTTCCTCCACCCCCAGCTTCTCAAGACTCCTCTTCCTCCTCATCCGGTATGTAACCTGTCTTCCCTCCAACATGCTCATCGTCCCCTGGCTCATGGCTCAACCTTTCGGATCCCACACACCTCTCCCTGGTGGACCTTCATCATCTGGTGTTCCTGAACTCCTGCATCTGCAGGACCACCCTGGACTGAACTCATTCATTCTCTCTTTGTAAATAAACATATTAAAAGTTTGTCTCATGGAAGTGTTTGCGTGAGTCAGGCAGTTTTCGAAAACCGTGACAAACCTGCCTTCAGAGACCCTTTCCGGGACAGCATAGCTCCTAGGATCATTCAGACACTCAAACTCCTTCACCACGAAAAGGTGACGACGAATCAACACCTCGTTTAATGAATCTATTAAGTAAAGCTGTGTGCTAATGAACTCTTAGTATGGCTTATTRTGACCCCCGCACGCGAAAACGTAAGCGGGAGTCATTGTTTTCGTACTGTTTGTTTGTTCAGTGATTTTTGGTCAACTGTAGCACAAAAACGGCTGCACCAATCAACGTGAAATTTGGCAGGACTGTAGATGAGTCTGACCTACACTGCGCCAGCCAACGGTTTTACGATAGACCCCATATTTGAGGAGGGGGTGCCATTCCAAGAGGGGGTGTCTGGACATGTAACAATGCTTATAACTCAGAACCTGTTCAACATAGGAGCTTCAGATTTCTTTTGTTGTTTAGCTCTGATGAAGCTTTATCCATCAGGCCCACCAATCAGTGCCCTCCAACCTCCGGACCCCCAATTTATCTGAAAAAGGGGTATCTGGTCATACAAAAATGGTTATTGCTCAAAAACTATTAAGCATAGGAGCTTCAGATTTATTTTGTTGTCCAGCTCTGATGAGGGGCTATCCATCAGGTCAACCCCCCCCCCCCAAAAAAAAAGGACCCCCACCCAAAGCACTACAATTTTGGGATGCACCTAGTAGCATGACATTTATTAGGAATAAAGAMTTCTGAGTTCTGGTGCATTTGTGCGTGCGGGGGTCATTATGTTACTGCTCTGCGGTATCTAGTTCTTTTCTCATTTTTTATTTTTAATCAGAATCTTGATTACTAAGTTTAAAATGCTTTCTGAATACAGTCACAAGACTTTTAGTGAAGCTACATCTGAAACTATTTATTTTTAAATGAGCCTTATGTGTCAGCACTGAGACTTAACACAGATTCACACTTGCACTTTGCTGTAGCCTGTTGTTTTCATTAATCAGTGCTGTGCTCTGAGCAGCACCTGGTGCACACGGTGGTGATGATGCAACACCAGCTCACCACAAATCTTTATTAAGTTTGATATTAAGATGTAAGCATGAATTTTAAAGCCAATGAGACAAAATTGCCATAGCTGCAGATAAAACGTTGTGTGATGTATCAAGTATTGTCACATATAACTGAAGTTAAAACACTGAATAAACATTTGGTAATGTGTTAACATAAAGACTAACAAGGCYCTGATATAGACCCTTGGGGACCGAAGCTGAGCAATTAAGATATAATAAAAGTTTATTCTCCAATCGGTAGCCTGTGTTCTTTTAGACAGATATGATTCCATCCAGCAGAGGGCTCTGTTTGAAAMGGAAAAACGAGAGCTTTGATAACAAAACATCATGATAAATTCGTACTGTTCCTGCAGGAAGAAGTGCCAAATTCTCTAAATCAATAAGAATAACCAGAATTGGTCCAACACTCAAACAGTAAAGTGGTGTCTGGTTGGCAGAGATGTATGAAGGTGAGGTTGCAGGAGGAAGGTCTGCGTTTCTGTTGAAATGTGTCATTGAGGTGCACTCCCTTCCCGGTCAGCACATCCATGAAGACTCACCCATATCTCAGAGTTGTCTCTTCCATATGTTAKCTCCTTCCAATGTCTGGTTTACTGACATGGTTGTGTCACAAAAATTGTGTCTTTGTGCATAGAGACAGCAGTGAAACATAGGTTCTCCAGGGTTATGTTGACCAGGAGGAGGTGCACCTTGGTTGGGTAGTATAGGGACATGTTTCCACTTCATCTGTTGGAAACAATCCTTTCATGATAAATTCACTAAATTTTCTCCTCGGTCAACAACAGAAACACCAGATCTCCCACATCCAACTCCTCCATTATCCACCTCTGCCACCCGTGCTCTCACTGTRTTATTTCTGTTTGTACATGCAGTACTGCAGTGGGCCAGTGGGAGGATCTTTACTTCTCACCCACAAGTTTCTCCTTGAGTTCAAGCAAAAGCAAATGTCTCACGACCACGTCAGGGAGATTGTCTTGTGAAGTATAAAACAAAGTTACAGATGTCACTGCCTCTGACTTTACTTAGCTTTCAAGAAAAGCCTGTTTTCTCTGAAACAGAATTAGTTTTACTTTCCGCAGTGAAACTGTGATGAGGTAAACGTTACCGCAATATAGTTCAAAATAAAGTAAAATTCCTTAATTCATTGCAATTTTCAGCTGTAAAACAGGTTAAAATAAAGTTAGCCTACTTGTACGCCTGAAGTCAACACAACACTGCTGGTCAAGACAGATGGCTGCCTGTCCTGAGCCTGGTTCTGCTGGAGGTTTCTTCCTGATTAGCAGGGAGATTTTCCTCCCCACCGTTTGCTCAGGATGGGAGACTGTGATGAAGWGATTCAACACAATCAGCTGGTTTCTTTAGATTATTCTATTTATGTACAGTGCACTGAGACAACGTATGTTGTGACTTGGTTCTATATAAATAAACTTGAAACAACACCAAAACCAGATATTATTATATACTGTAATGTTACTGTGAGTCATATACTGTTGTCCCAATCATGCTTGTGCTTTTTAGGGACCAGCACCAGAGAGGAAAAACTGTAACTTGAAATACTGTATAAGAAATAAATAATCTATATAAAATATAATATAATATAATATAATATAATATAATATAATATAATATAATATAATATAATATAATATAATATAATATATGTTTTAAATGGCCAGTTTTGTAGTCATAACTTTAAAACATCATTGTTGTATCAAGATAAAAATGATGCAACATAAATACACAATAAAATGCAAAGGTGGTATACTGGTTTATTGATTAAAAAGAGTGTAATGTATTAACAAGTGATAAATTACAGACTTTAAATAGGATTTATATTAAAAACCGATATGATTGTGTCAAGCCCTGACAGTTTATACACTGGCTTCAACAGACAGAACACGTTTCCTCCTTCATAACAACTGTAACCAGGAACAGTTGGTTATTCAGCCGCAGGGCTTCACACCWTGAGGCCGTGTTCCCACAGGAAATATCTTTATAAAGAGGAAAACAAAACAGAAAGGTGAACATTTGAACAARTTATTAAAAGATGATGACTAAAAATGTTAACCAGAGTAAAGGGTTAACTCTCCAGTAACCATGTCAGCTTAGTTAAAGGTTATTATAATAATTAGATTAAAAGTTTTGAGCAGTGAAATGTGTCTGTTAACAATAAAGAGTTTGTTTCCTGCAGAGCTGAAAGACATGAAGGTTTGTTGACAGTAATCTGATGAAGGCTTCAGACTGATACTGATGGGATGATACTAGATCTTTTGTTTTTTTTTTTGTTTTTTTTTTTACATCTGCCTAGTCAAGGTTTTATCTTTGTTTGAAACAATACTCTCTTGGTTCTTGTATTGCTTTCATGTCATCTTTGGCAGCAGCTGAATATGCTTTCTCTCATCATGCGGGAGGGAAAAGAAGTCGAGCTTTGGTCCACAGATGGAATTGTTTTTTGTTTGTCTGCACTTTTTTTTTAAGAGGACAAGATGTTTTAGTGGTTTCCCATCTGCAAGGTTGTTGACCTTGTCAGTCACATTTCAGACACTGGGGACTTGTTTCTCTCGGCAGCCGGCACGCTCACAGGTGGATGGAGGAGAGAGTTGTCATGGAAACAAGCCACCAGGATGGGACGCAGTCCCGACTGCAGCAGGAGCTTTCAGTGATAGCTATCYCATTGAACAGATTTCCGGACTGGTACTGGGCTACCTGCTGAGCTGGTAAAAGGAGACTTGATCTTTTTCTGCAGGTGAAAGACAGTGGATGTTTAAAGAAGCTTCAAAGCATTTAAAAAAATGGCAGAATTCCTCTACTGTTCTTCACACCTTCCTATCAACAATCAAAATCTAAATTAATTGAATAATAAGAGCTAATAACTAAATTATGATGTATAGAAAAAACTAATTCTCACTGATTGAAGTGTACATTAAAAAGAAGTTATTAAGAAAACAACGGTTATCTGAGGATAACATCAATCCTTAAAGAAATATTTGTGCTCTTTTAAATTGTGGCTCTGTTTAAAAGTTTTAGATAGCTTTTTGAATGGCTACTATAAAATCTCCCTTATACTGACATGTAGAAACAATGCAGTATAACACCCAACTGCTGCTTGATCCATTTACAAACAGTCAAGGAAAGCTCAACTGAGTTCCCAACACTGAGACATTTGTCTCCATTCCAGCACTAATAGAGAGGAAGAGGGGTGGAGACAGTATGCAGGAGATAGAAATGTTGTCAGGGGAAACCCAACAGATTGGTTGATTGCACCTCGAGGCTCTGAGCTGTCAATCATCATCAGAAACCAACTGAACTTTAAGGCTTTCTGCTGGATATCCACTCTTCCTAGACGGTGCGCCGCTGAGGTTTAGATCTGCATCGAGGTAGAGGAAGAGCAGGTTTTTAAAAAGATTTTAACACAAGATTTGCAAAGATCTTAGTAAGATGCATTACTGCAGTAGGAGCAGATGGTAGTTTAGCGTAATTACACAGACAAAACTGTGAAGAAATCTAAAATGACACAACGTTATTTGCAGCCAAAGATGTGTTGTAAATGAACCGAGTTAAAAAATGTTGGCAGCAAAATAGGCTGAAATCTGTAGTTATTGTCATTACCTATTATCATCAACTACAAAGACTTTGCATCTGTAATATTATACTTCCTGTTTCAAAACAGGTGAAAATACAGGCGAGTTTCATACAAACAAATTAAAATAACGTTATGCATTATATCCACTGGCTGGAGTCCATATGTTCCCTGGTACCCATGTTCTCCCATTGTTATTAATGAACGTCATGAAAGATGCTTTGCTCCTCTTTTAAAGGGATCAATGTTTAGGTGTAACATTAGACTTTATTTAATAAACACATATTGTAACTGTAAAATAAAGACTGTAAAAATACTGCAGGATGTTCATTTTTTATCATTTTTAAACTAAAAGTATTTATAAATATGTTAGATGGGCGGAATATATTAATTCATTAAATAACAACATGCAAATTTTGCAAACATTACTATAATCTGCCTGTTGCTCCACTTCCCACTTTTAGACAATCCTTGTTTTGATGTGATGTGTCACATTTATGTACTTTGCAGTTTTTCCAGTAACTGTAACCATTCTATGGGGATTATTGTTTAGCACACATGCTGTACATTTCCATTTTCAATTTATCATCACTAACATTCGGTTTGTGTCATAATCTAACTCCTGCTATACAGTTAAAGAAAATAATAAAACCCAGTTCAATATCAAAGTTCAGATATGTTTTTACACTTGATGTCGTTACAAAGCGCACATAAAAAACACATGGTGTTAAAATCATAGTTTAGAAAATAAGAGGAAAGAAGGTTTTATTGAAGTTGTTCATCAAACAACATGTCTCTGTGTGTAAACCACAATGAAACCAGTGATTGTAGACATTCTAGCAAAATAAGAAACAATATTTTTAAGAATTTTAGAAAAGCCATACATCTATTAGTTTATCTAGTGTATAACATTCATATTTCTATTGCTGGTTTACAGTACTCTGCAAACTTAAAGTCTAACTCAAATATACTGTTATTTTAATGTACTAAAAAGTAAATCAAATAAGAGATAATACAACATTACAGAAGTGTTTCTAACATAGTTCAATAGACAGTATATCAAGTCTAAATGTACTTAATCAGCTTACATTTGAGTTGATAGACAAATTAGTATATATATTTATATGTATTTCAGTGCACAACAGTCAACAGTGAAACTGTTTTTTATAATAAAAAGAACAAATTGAGACTCTTAACAGTTCTGCCAGAGAAACATCTCAAAAACTGTTTTGGATTTCAGCATTTCTGTCCGCACACTGAATCCACGACAATGCTCATGCTGTGTTCATCAAAAAGTTACTAAAAGTAAAGCACAGTGACTACTAAGTTCAGGAAGCTTAACCAAGCTGGCATATTGTGTGTCAAAACAAGTGAGAGGTAAAAAAGTAGTATTCTAAATTAGAAATCTGTAAGTGGGTCATCGATTGCCTCAGTCTAAGAAAACCAAAGAAAGGAAATAAAAAGGTAAATATTACACAAAAACAAAATGAAAAGAATGTTCACTTTTACATGAAGAAGCAAGTATGTATATTTGTGCTACTTAACAATCCTGTCTCTGTGTCTCCCACAGGAGTGTGTCTCTACCACATGTAATAGCTACGTGAGGTGTCCACTTGGCTGGGTTTGGCCTCCGTCGTGCCTTCTTTCTCCTTCTCAGTGTCCGCCTCCCACAAGTTAATAAGAGGAGGATACAGTTCGTTGAGTGGAATAGATGAGGTTTTCTGCATGTACTTTTTGAGAGAGTGGTGGTAATTTTTCCTTTTCCACCTCTTAGCAATGTACACACCCAGTAAAACCAAGCATATGATTGCAAACATTGTTCCCATGACAGCTGCAAGAGCAGTGTTGGTCCCTTGATCGGATACTTCCACAGCGAAGGGCGCTTGCTTCGTAGTCACATTCACACAYGACTTTTGTGTTTGATGTTGGATGTTGGAGACAGTCAGGCACACCTCGTACTCTGTTGCTGGTTGTAGATGAGTGAGGTTGTACTCGTGGACGTCCACGGGGACCTTGGCAGTGTAAGTAATATGTGGGTTGTCAATTTTCATGGTTGCAGATGACCACTTGAGGTTAGAGGTCATTACATTTGAGTTTATTTTCCAGGAAACAAGGATTGAGTGAGATTCTGTCTGCTTTACGTAGATCTTCATGAGCTGCGTACTGTCTAATAGAGTACCATTCACCTTTATGGCTGTTACTCTTGTGTCAACTCCATCGGAGTTTTGAGCCACACAGGTGTATCGGCCAGAGTCTTCAACTTGGATAAGAGAAATTCTCAGTGTCCCTTCTTTGCTGAGGCTGTATTTGTCAGATAAAGTGTCTGTTATAATTTTGTTTCCCATTGGTGTCACCCAATAGATTTCAGGGTCAGGCTGGGAGATGGCTCTGCAGTCCAAGTCCAAGGTCATGCCGATTTCCAAATTGAGGTGGCTGGGGAAGGTATCGTGAGAAATCATGGGCAGGCACTGATTTGCTAACTTTTTCTGTAATACCTCTCGCACACGCATACCYCGGACCTCGGCTGGCGTGGCACAGAACATGGCTACAGGTTCCATAAATCGGACTGCTGTTTTGTTGGAGYCCATCCACTGGATGACACAGTCACAGCGCAGAGGGTTGCTGTGGATGCTGATCTCACGCAAGTTGGGGAGGGAGTCTACCGTAGACTGATAAAGGGCATTCAGAGCATTGCTGTTCAGCATTAGACTCTCTAAAGCTGGGACATCCCGAAAAGCCTGACGACTGATGTAAGAAAACTTGGGATTGTTTGTCGCCTCCAGTTTGGTGAGCTCAGGAAGGTTGTCCAAAGCATAGTGATCAATAGAAACCAGCTCTCCCATGTTGTTTATRCCCAACTCCTTCAGTCTAAGCATGTTCTTAAAATCCCCCGCTTGAATCTTATGTATAGGGTTTTTGTTTAAGTCAAGGAACTTGAGGTTAGGTAGCTTCTGAAGGGCTCTCTGAGGAACTTGAACCAGCTTGTTGTCATAGAAAGAAAGGCTCTCAAGATTGTCTAGTCCCACAAAGGCGTTGCTTGGGACATCTTTCAAATCCATCCCAGCTAAAACCAGGCTTCTTAGATTGCCCAGTGGCTTGAAATTAAAGTCTGTAATTCCATCAACAGGGTTCTCACCAATCATAAGGATCTCCAGATTGGGTGTCGATCTAAACCACTGGTTGTTGATGGTTTTTAGCTTGTTAGAGTTGAGGTGAAGCCTGAGGAGGTTATGAAGACCAGAAAAAGCATCAGCAGCAATGGTGTTGATCTGATTGTGGTTGATGTAGAGCTCCTGCAGGTTGCTCAGATCCTGCAGACAGTAATCAGGCATTTCTGTAATCTGGTTCTCCTCTAAATGAAGCGTGGTGAGCTGGGACATGTTAGAGAGACCAACATCTCGAATGGTGCTGAAGTTGTTTTGGGAGAGGTCCAGTTCTGTCAGGTTGAAGAGCTGCTCCAGTTCTTCACTGGTTTTTGCAATGTAGTTGCTCTGCAAGAGGAGAACCTGGGTTTCACTGGACAGGTTACCTGGGATCCGTGTTAAGTGAAGGTCATTGCAGTCCACAGTTATGGCTTCTCTGTAGGTGGACTGCGGGGTGAACCAGGGTCGGATCTCACACACACACAGCTGAGGACACTCATTGCTCTGGACACAAGATATTCCTACAGATACTAGCAGCAGGCCAGCAAGCACCTGGTGAGAGGTGTCTAACCTCCATCTAGCCATGCTGGGAAAGGACAGGAGGATRGTCAGATGACTTTGGAGGAGGATGCGTAACAGTCATCAATTAAAATTTCAGCTGATGATGCCTTTCAGTCCATGAAACATAATGGTCAGGAGAAAAAAGTGCTCGTGTGTGGGGGACAAATGTTTCTGGAGTATTGGGATTATCTGAAAAACAAAACACAAAAGAGTTTGGGATTAAATTTTTAGACTAAAAACTGAATGAAAAGCAACAAATGTCCAAAGACAAACTTGAAACATCYTTTAAAAACATGGGGAACAGAGTCTTGCACGTTATAGGTGTTTCCCTGCTTCGGCACACCTGATCCAAATAATTAAATTACTTACTCAGAATGTCATCAAGTTTAGTAGAAGCCTGTCATTTATTTATTCATTTAGGCAGGTGTGTTAAAGCAGGGAAACACATCAAGCAAGCAGGWCAGTGGGTCACGAGGAACTGAATCAAAGAGCTCTAGAACACTCCAAAGGTTTATTATAAAGCCTGTGTGCTTGTGACAAGCATTCCATACAAATACAAAAATTTGAAAGAAAACTTCTTAATATTTAAGAAATTCGGCATATGCACAATTTTACACATTTTGTCACATAACTGGCATAGATTTTAGTACATGGTGTTGTTGGTGTAACCAGAAGCGATGCCAAAATGGAAAACTCTGGTCTTCTTTAAAAAGTGGAAAATGTGAAATCAACAAGCAAGTGGCCAAGATGTTGTAAACTCATTGTTTATTAAATGGTGTGTTGCTGGTAGTTGCTGGAATACTGCAACAACAATTTACACAAATTTCCAGTGGATAAGAAGGTAAGAATAGCTTGAATCAGATTAGTTATTCGCTACTGTCTGTGCTATTACCTRTCGTAGCAATGCTCTAATTACATGTAGGTGTTCCTTTGTCACCACAGAAAAGTGCAAAAGAGCAGCCTGAGAGAACCTTTTCATTGACATTTGTGACTGCACATCTGAACAACTGTTCATCTCAGTGGTGCCTTAAAATGCATTCAACTTTATCACTAAAATTTGATGTCTCTAGCATTTTAAAATAATTAAAAACAATATCAATGAAAATAGCCCCCATTTAAATGTTTCTGTTAAAATTACCCAAACTACTTAGTTTGATGATGTCATTTCAACAATGTCCATATACACAAATGTATATGTTGAGTGTAGACCCATGAAAACACGTTTTGCTGATGGTGCTGAGGCTGCAAATATACWGTATCAGTCTGTGGGGAACCAAACAAACCTTATAATTGACTTAATGTATTGATCAGGCAGACTGATGCAATCACAGCATCAGTTCCAAAGGGAGAAAACACATTTTATTTCACATTTTATTGTATTTTGGTCTGTGCTCATCACACATATTATTGACATCATGGATGTTGTTTGGTTGCGAAAACAGGAACAAACTACAAAGTGTAGAGATTTAATATGAGCGAAYRTAGTATTCTTTTACACTGGAATGYCATTTTTGAGAAAGGGTTGTTTTAAAATCTTAGAAAATCATGAACAGTTTCTTATTTGACTAGTCATTAGCCTAGCATAGACTAAAWTTTCTGCCCACTTGTTTTCTTGATTTTTTTTTGCCAAACAGATGCTTTATCAAGACCAGTGGTTCAGAATGCTAATGTTTGTCAGTACATATCAAATCAGGCAAAAACATTTTGCAAAGGTACACACATCTGCAATTGATTAATGCTTCTAAAAGGCAGAAGCTAACCAATAAAAAAACTAATATTTATATGCAATTCCACATAGAAATCTAGCCATGTTAAATTGTTCAAATTGACAGCCCGCCTCTTCCAATATGGCATTGTGCTCATACCACAATGGTCAATCTTCTGAAGTGTACATGATGCCTCTAGTCAATATACCTATACGGAGCTGCAGAGGGTAAATTGGGGGATTGACTTTCTTTTGTGTAACCTTGCAATACTTTTGCATTTCCAACACCAACATTTTGCAGATTTGCCAAGACAAAATAATCCTTACAACAAATGTGTCCTCTTGCACCAATTAGTCTTATTAAATGTCACTCACTGTGGTGACACGCATGCCTTTTGGCAAGCACAGACTGAATATCCTTACATTTAAGGTTTCATAATAAAACTCCAGAAACAAACATGGGTGTAGGGTCTGTATTTTTGTTGCTGTTGTCTGGTTCAGCAATTATTCCACAAAGTATTGAGAGGTAAGACAATACCTCTGTATGGGAATGCAAAAGGTATTGTAGGGCAAAGCATAACAAAAAAAAATCCCCAACGTCTTTCGGCAGCTCTGTAAAAACAGATAAAAGCCCCTAACAATGATGTTTAGTCCTACATCTGACATTTCTTATTTGTTTTTTACTTATTCTTGTTGCTTATAATTGCAGCAATTAAATAAGAAAGTAGACTGACAAAGAACTAGCGTGTCTACACCATCCTTGCGAGACTGAGTTATGTGCATCATCAACAGTTTTGAGAAAATGCAAGTTCAGCTCATTACAATGCACACAGAATGCTGCTCTGAACTACTTGAAACAAAGGATTAAATTCCACAGAGAKCTTTCATCTATCCAACAGGCCTATAGAGACTCCATCATTAGCTTCTCAGAACATCATTAAACATGATGAGCTACTGATACACACCATGCCTCAAAGAAAGCAACAAAAAGTTAGGAGTCTTAAATTTTAATGCAACTTTCTCAACATCCAGAATGTAGGGCAATCACGAAGAAAAGTTTTCCATTGGCTTTGAAAAAAAAGAATCCTCAGTTGAATGAATACAGATGGAATAATATCAAAACATTTTTCTGTCCTTTTTTTTTTAAAATTGACAATGGCTCTGGACTACAAATGAGATTTGAAGGATGAAGCAGAAAAAAAGAGAAATCTGGATGTAGACCTCTAAGTTACTTAGTAAGAGTTGCAATGTTGAGATTGTTCTGCACTGAAAACAGGCAATTYCTGATTCCTAATGTCGGATTCTGAAAGTCTACTGCGTCTAAAACAAAACATATCTTTTTCTATTCTTGCACAATTCTTTATATAGTATTTTTTATTATTAGTAATTGTATCATGGCTAGTCAGTGTTAATTTTGTTTTTGTGTGCACTGTCTATAGTTTGTAAAGTAACTAGTGTGTGAAACACTGTTCGGATGCTGCTGTGACACCTGAATTTCCCCTCAGTGGGGCAATAAAGGCTATTTCTATTCTATTCTATTCTATTCTATTCTATTCTATTCTATTCTATTCTATTCTAATGGGCATCTGAATTAACAAAATGTGAATTAGATGGTAGATCATTACAATTGGCAGCTTTTACTTAAAAGCTATTAGATCCTGTTCACACTGGATGATAATCGTACTACAAGGTTAAAAAAACAATCTATCAGAACATGCAGGGACTTTTCAGGGTTCAAGATGTGTTTTAAAGTGCCTGTGACATGCATATTCTTCAAATACAAAAAGTCAAATAAAACATCTTTATATTTAAGAAAGTTGAAGTGATACACACAATTTTACCAATTTTGTCCCATAACTGGCATATTTTCTTTTGAACTTGGCTCAGCCAAAGTGAAACAGGAAGTGACATCAAAGGGGAACTCTTTAACAAAGAAAACTCTCTGGTCTTTGTTTAATGAAATAATTTTATTTGAACTCTGACTCTTCTTCATCTCTGATAGAGACTCAGAATGATCTTGAGAAACATCAGATTCTTCTCTACAGTCTGGGTTGGTGGCTTATCATTCTCTTCACATGCAGACATTCCCCTTTGACATCACTTCCTGTTACTTCACAGGCACATATCTCAACAACCGTTCATCTCAGCGACATGAATTTTCTTTTGCAATATTTTATCAATGTCCTCTTTCTAAAAATGCATTCATATGTATTACAGAAAAGTTTGACCTCACAGGCACTTTAAGAAGTCCCATCACATGTCAGAGTGTGATAAAGTATAGCCAGTGTTCTGATACTTGAGTAAAAGTTAGTCTTCTCAAAGAATATTACTTCAGTAAAGTAAGTATCTGACATTTACTCTGCTTAAGTATCAAAAGTAAATTTCTGATATAAAATGTACTTAAGTATTAAAAGTGAAAGTACTGAGTAAAAATGAGCAGTTAGAATTTCTACAAGGACATTTAGTGGGAGGTGACCTCCTCAAAATATTGGTCTGTATTTGTACTTTGTTGTTATCAACAAATTTAATTTATTAAACTGTAAAACAGAGTGAGTCCAGCTCCTAAACTGTGTAAACTGTGAGTTCATGATAAAAAAGGATTGCCTCACTGTTTACATTAAAAACAGAAAAATCATGTCAGGATCCTTGTTACACCATTTTAACTGAATGATATTAACACTTTACTAAAAAAATTACCTACCTATATACCAACAAACACAAACCACTAGTGTTGTTGGGTCATTAGGGGCAGTACTCCATTGTAACTAGACTAACTTTTAACTTTTTTACCAAACAATCAATTTGCTTTATAAAGCTTGTTTTATACTTCGAGTTGCACTTTCTTGTTCCCCMTGCTGAGTGACATAAAATTGCACATTTTCTGTCTGCTCTCCCGGTGACAGCTGTCATGTGCATTGCCCCAAGTCACAACTCCGTGACGCCGACCTTGCAGCTCACAAGTGAATGATTAGAACTTGGTGGGTGTTTGTTCATGAGGAGCAAGCAGTGGTCCAGCTCCTCAGWGCTGACCTGGACCAGGCTGGACCAGAGCACAATTTCCTTCTACATGTTTTGTTTAAAATGATTTTTAGACTAATGCCTTTTAAAAGAGCTGGAAAAGCAGCTTTTTTGATCCTATTGAACATGATGCAGCTTATGTTCACGTCTTTTTTCCATCCACAATAACAATAAGTTAACAATAATAAAAATAATAAATGTTTGTCCTCTGTGGACTCTTCACCCAGCACAACACTGATTGTTCAGTGAAAAAAAAAAACAATATCCAGCCATCATTATTGTTGTTTATATACTTATAATTTATGACCCGCCGCATCTTCAGCCATTCATACTCAGTCAGGATAAAGACTTTCGAAATGACACAATGACCGACCTGCTGTCTCACGTCGTATTGAARTATGACCCAAGTTAAGGAGGTCACAAACAGTTTACCGTATGTATACTCCCTCATGGTTCAACATTATTA